AGGGACCACCATAGGTTCAGACAGCCTTGCTGAGGGAACCCTGGTGCACATCCAGCCCAGGGAGTGTATTTTATGGCAAGGTACTGTGCCAAGGTGCTGCAGTTAGAGCCAAACTCTGCTCTTAGCAATGCAAGTGTCCTGATATTGAGAGGAGATGACTTCAGTGTCAATTCAGATAAGATTTTTACCAACCTACAAGGGCAAAATTTATCAGCTGAAAGGTATCACATCTCATCCTCCCACACACGCTGGCCCTCAGCATTTTGCAGAGTCTTCCTGCAGCTCTGGCTGTGCTTCTGAAGAGAGTACAGAGTGTACCTATTCCAGGAAAGCCGAGTGCAATGTGAACTCTTGGTTGGGTTTAAAATCCTCTTGTGCCTCTAACCTCTAGGACCAGCTGACAAGGCCAAAGGAAGGCTTCTCCTCGCTGCATGCTCTTGTCCTGTCTCCAGTTGCCTTCATGTACCTTGGGAGGCAGAGCCCTGGGATGGGATGCTCTGCAAAGCTGCTGAAGGTGTTAACACTGCCAGTCCTCCTGCAGAGCTGAATTTTCTCTGCTGGTTTCAGGTTGTTCCTTCTCATCTTGCCATAAGTGGCCCTTCTTCCTCCTGTTGAGGACCTCTGGTCTTTTGGACGATCATCCCTCAACAACTTTATCACTCCCCAGGGACGTGGCAGAGAAAGCCATGAGTGCCGTAGCTTAATGTGGTCAAGAGAGCAGCACCTCCTCCCCATCAGCGACATCTCCATCACAGCCTTGAAGACAATTTCCCCTGATACCTGCCAACCTCCTCTGCCACTCCATTTCTCATTAGAGCTGGTGAGCTACCAGGGGAGAAGATGAGCTGCTGTGCACAGCCCAGTCCAAAATGAGGTCTCATAGGGGACCTCAGCAGCAGACATGGGACAAGGGCCCCCACATGTTTTGAGCAGCTGATAAATACAGACCAGGGTCCCCTTGCAAACTGTGTCCCCTCCTGAGTTGGCAGCATTTGAAAGTAGAGGGACATCCCCTTGTTCAGGACTTGGTGATAACCCCACCTCAATGGGTAATTGCTCTTTCTCTGTCCCTAACGGCCCCTCCGAAGGAGCCAGTGCTGATGTGCCGGTCCAACAACTACCCCAAGGGTTTCTACTGCAGCTGGCACCTGCCCACTCCCACCTACATCCCCAACTCTTTCAATATCTCCGTCATGTAAGTGCCCGGGAAGGAAGGGTGCAGTGGGGTGAGTTTTGTCCGTGCAGCCTGGAGGAGGTTGCAACTAGTGCCGTGAAGTCTTGGGGCAGTGTGTCTGACCTGTGCTGTGCATATGGGATTGGTGTCCCAAAAATGGGCCTGGGGAAGGATGCTCCAGGGACATCCAAACTGGATGCTTGACACTGGGACTTTGTCCCAAGAAAGTTCCAGTTTCCCCAGAGGGGACCAGGAAAGTCTCCAGCTCCCAGCTCCCTTTTCCATGCCCCCAAGTCCATCCTCTCTGAACCACTTGTCCACAGCGGAGGTTGTGCCCGCTGTTTTTCGGCGCATTTGGCATAGCCACGCTCCCTTCTGCCATATGCTGGCTGTGGCCGGGAAGCAGCAGTGTCCCTCACCTAGAACTGGCCATGGCATGGCATCGTCCCCCACCCTGTGCCCGGGTTCTGGCACAGCCCTTATACAGGCTGGTGCTGTGCTTTGTCTTCTGGGGCTTGTGTCACCAGCAGAAAGGAGACACCATTCCTCTCACAGCAGGGACAGAGCCAACCCCAGTCCCAGAAGGGTCTCATCCTCTCCTTGGGCCCAGAGTGAGGACATTCACTGCAGTGTCTGTGTAGGCTTAGGATAAAACATCACACACATGAGCCTGCAAAATTCCCCAGTGGGAGGAAAGCAGCCCTTTGGCTGCAGCAGGGGCTGGTGCATGGGGACCACAGGCAGAGCAGGGACACAGCGCTGCTCCTTCTGTCTCTTCCCTTCAGCAGCATGGGTGCATCCCCACTCTAAGTGCCGCTCCATAGATAACAGCTCTTCTTGCCTCTGCTTTCCAGACATGGCACAAAAGAGATGGTCTGCGAGAAGGATGTCTTTCCCAAAAACAGGTGTCACATCAGATACCTCCAGCTCTTCTCGACAGTGAAGTACAAGGTGACTCTGACAGTCACGAATGCTCTGGGCAAAACCTCCACCACTCTCACCTTTGACGAGTTCGCCATAGGTAACTTCCACAGCAGCAACTGACCTCTCCGAGACGGTGTTGGGGTTGGCTTGCTCTGCATGCAGTGTCGCCCACTGGAGCGACAGGCCAGGGAAGGGACCGGCTTTCCAAGTGGAGCCTCTGCCTATCCATGTTTGAGATAAAGCCGGGGTCTGAGCCATGGCTCCTGTGCCTTCCCTGTGCCCCCGTGATTCTCATGGCCCTGCTGTAACTGATGCCAACACCTGAGCATCCTGGGGGAGCCAGGCAGGATGCCCACAGGCAGCCCCCATGCTGGTCCCGTCGGTGGCCTGGTGCCCTGCCTGGTCGCATCCCCAGTGGTCCAGATCTCCTGTGGTTTCTGAGCTCCTCCCTGCTTAGGGGCTGGGGAACGGCTGCCATGTACCAGGGCAGAGGGCTGTGAAAATGGTGTGGTCCAAGTGGCATTGCTTTTCTTGCCCCTATGAAAGTTCCTAAAAGAGAGGTTTGGTGTTTGTGCAGGAAGCAGAGTCGTGGGAATTAGAATTGGAAGAGAAATTAAAATGTCCCATCCTCTTCACTGCATCCGTAGTTACGATAAAGCCCTCCTAAAGTCATCTTCCACCAACCCTTACCTAACATGCTCCTAAAAACCCTATTCCCTGGGCAGTGAATGCTGTGCAATGTGGGACAGGGAGCAGTGGGCCGTGGGTGCCGGAGTGTCCGTGCTGCTGGCTGTGCTGCAGGGATGCTCCTGACCGTGTCCAGACCTGTGGTGCAGATGCTTCTCTGACTGTGAAGGACCGGCGTGGACTGAGCAATTCAGTGCCAAGCACAGCAAAGCAGGGAGCTGGGCACAGCGCCTTTGCCACCAGCCAAAGGCAGATTACAGACGGTGCCATGACAAGATTGTCCATCCTCAAAGAACAGGAAAAGTGGGAGAGAACAGACTTCAGGAACACATCAAAAACCAATTTGCTGGTTACATGTGGCAATTACTGGATCAGAAAAACAAATAAATGAATCCTTGAAGTGGAGCCAGCAGTGAGTCTTTGCCTTCAGTGTGCTTTATGTCCCAGTCCTGAGCGGCTGGAAGTGTCAAAGTGGAAGAGGAGCTCCACTGCTATCCCAGATTTTCCCTTTCTACCCCAAATCCTGGAAGACATCAAAGAAGAAACAAGGTGCCAGCTCTGAACAGAGCAGGGAAATTATTTTGGAGCAGGGACTGTCCTGCCATGTCCCTGCAGCCATGGTCGATATCCAAGTCTTGTATTTGTTGGTGCATAGTGAACATTGATAACAAGGCAAGGAGCTTAGCAGGGAAGTGGTGGAGTTTCAGTCACTTGGGTGCCTTTAAATGGAAATTGTTGTGTTTGTGGAAGATACACTCCTTGAAAATGAAGGTAACCTCCAGCCTGCAGGGCCCAGGGCAGCAATTAAGCTGCATTTTCCAAGTTCCTTGCATTCCCTCCCGCAGGAGTTCACAGCATCATCCTGTAACATCTGTATCCCACCCATGCCCTGCCTGGCTTCCTAAATATCTAGTCCTCCATCCAGCACACAAGGGCAGCTCCCCTGGGAAGCACACACAGCTGCAAGCCCCGGGCATCCCAGCACCAGCACAAGCTGGATCCAGCCAGCCGTTTGAACTCAGCCCAGGTCAGAGGAGTGGTGAGCAGAGGCCAGCATGGCCCTGGGCCAGACGTTAGCATGGGTGCAATATCCCTGCCTCTTGGAAGAGTGCCTGGAGGGGTACAGGGTGCCTGGACACATCCTGGCAGTTACGGTGGGAGATGAGACCCTCCAGCACTACCTGGCAGATGCTCTAACACCCTCCAGGATGGCATTTGGGGAAGGGGTGATGGGCCAGTGCTGATAAGAAAGGCTATGTCCTGCACCCTGAAGCCAGCCCACTCCCATACATAAACACTTCAGTATCTATTGGCCTTAAAAACTCCACATTCAGTACAACTATGAAATTATCCTCCTCAGGATTTGGTATGGCCGCTGTGTGTAAGAAGCATAGACACGGTGGTGATTGACTGTTCAAGCAGGCAGTCAGCAAGCTTAGCAGAGTCATTACAGGATGAACTCAGCTGCCACCGATCAACAGCCAGCTGCCCTGAACGGACCTTCTCTTTGTGCTGTCCTGGTGTTTTCAATTAAAACAAGTGCACTGCGTTAGTGCATTTTGCTATGCAATTTTGCCCCAGGTTGCCTGCTCTCCTTGGGGAAGTTTCTGCATTTCAGTGTCTTTTCTGGCTGTCATGTCTGCAGCTGCAAACCTGGGGCTGTGTCCCAGCATGGTGGGTACTGGCAGTGTGAATCTAGCACCCAGTAGGTTCCCTGGGCATCTCTACCAGCGTCAGCTGTGCTGAGATCTCATCTTTGAAGTTGCACTGGCTTTTGCTGTGCTAGATGGAAGGGTGGAAAACCTATGACTCAGGGCGAATCATTACATCGGGTCATTGGGAAAATCCTGCATGGGAACATTGCAACATGTGTATGCATCCTGCTAAAATGGAGAGACAGTGTCAACCAGCGACTGCTTGATGCTTCTGCTAAAATCCCAGAGCTGGGGATGTCAGAGCCTGCCTTGTGTTTTCCCCTTAGCCTAGAGAAAACCATCACACCTTCTGCATGGAGTTTAAACCCCAGGCGTGAAGCCCTGATCTCATGCCCTGCTGGGGTCGGAGTAGCCTGGAGCCAACACAAGGGCACTGCTGGGCTGGCGGCTCTTCACCCCGGCACCATCTGAACCAGGAGCAGACCCACTGCTGGCCTGGATCACCCACCCAGCCTGGGCAAACACAAAAAGCCCCCTGAGAAGGAATGACCTCCTTTGGTTTTGCTTCCTCTGTCCTTCCTCCCTCCATGGAGCCCCCAGCGGAAAATCCCATACCCAGCCGCTCAGAAGATGGACTCTAATTGAGTGGAAAATGACTGGTACTTTCTTTTGCTATCCCGAGCCCATGCCTCACTGACAGTCATGCCGTGCTGGTTATTAGCAGCCAGCTGCGAGGGGTCACTCTGCATTGTCATTTTCAATGATTGGAAAAGCTTTTCCAGCCCTCTGGCCCCCATCTCTCATTGATAGGGGATCTGGGCTGCCTTCCTCCTCTCATCTTGCTCCTGGAAATTAATTTCATAATTACATCTTCTGCAAAGGTATTGATACTAATAAAGGTGAGCATGGGAAGGGCAAGGTTCTGCAAAGCCCTGCAAATATCAGGACTCCAGCCCAAGGCAGGAGAAGGTGGGAAAGGGGCTGGCGGAGCTGGAGAAGGTGCCAGGGAGGAGTGAAATGATATGTCAGGAGCTGCCACCTCCCTTATGATGGCTGGGACAGCACAGGGACATTTGTGGCCTTCCAGAACACAACCCCACCTTCCTCACTTGTGTTTCAGCCCAAGAACCAGGTAGCTGGCACATGCATCCCCGAGGAAAGCAGGGACATCACCGCCACACAGCAACACCAGTATCACACCTCAGTGCCTTTCTGCTCGTGTGAGCCTGGAGCAAATCAGGAGAAGAAGATGCACAGCATTAGAAAGAGGAAGGCAGCCTTGGATGAGGTCTTTCAGGCATGAGTGCATTCCCGAAATCTGCTACGCATCCCTTGTGTGACCCTGGGAAGGTCATTTGATCCTCCCAGCTCCAGCTCTGGGGTGATTAAAACACAGAGCATCTCGGAGGGGCTGCATGAGGACAAACGCGCCCTGTCTGTATGAAATTTGGAGTCTCTGAACACGGGTATACAGTGCCTAGGCAGAAGGTCAGTTCAATTCATACTACTTAGGGAGTCAGAATTAAATTACCTAGACTGACATTTGGCTAAGACATGGAGTTTAATATCCCTCTGCTCGTGGAAAATGCCAGGGGATATTTAACGGCTGCAAGGGATCCATTTTAGCTCTCATTGGGAGAGACGGGATGGGCGGCAGGCCTCTCCATGCTGCAGGGTCTCAGCTGCCTTTCTGAGCTGCCGGCTTCATTTCAAGACATGTCTAACAACATCCAGGGGCAATGGGTAGCTAAAGACTTGCAGTTAAGCATGAGTGTGCAGAGCCTTTAGGAAAAGCTGCACTCCACGGCTCTTCTTGCACACCGAGCCCTTGCTTGGACACGACAACCGAAAACTGAGTGGGAAGAGCTGTGAGTCCCCTCCCAGCCAAGTCCCCTTCCCAGGAACGTCTGATGCTTCTTGAGCTCTGCAGGATAATATTACATCTGGTTTTGTAGCCGCTTAACCAGTACTCAGCCTAATGCCCATCGTCCATTATTATTATTACTATTATTGCTTTTATTATGTTACTGCCTGCAGGCCCTCGCTGAGGACAGGGCTCTATTGAGCTGTGAGTCCCCTCCCAGCCAAGTCCCCTTCCCAGGAACGTCTGATGCTTCTTGAGCTCTGCAGGATAATATTACATCTGGTTTTGTAGCCGCTTAACCAGTACTCAGCCTAATGCCCATCGTCCATTATTATTATTACTATTATTGCTTTTATTATGTTACTGCCTGCAGGCCCTCGCTGAGGACAGGGCTCTATTATGCTGCCTGATGTACAGGCAGACAGCCCATGCCTCACCATGTGTGGGCTAAATGGAGACAGACAAAGACTGGGGAAGGAGAAGCGCTCGTCCCTGTATGCGGATCAGGGACCTGGGAGGCTGTGGAGGATAAAGGACTCCTTCAAGGTCACATGGAAATTGGGGAGCTGGACACAGCCCGTCTCCCCTCGTTCCTCACCTGGCTCCTGGAGGAGCGGCCCTGATGTGTCCCATGATGAGCACAGCGTAATGAGGTCTGTCCTCAGAGATGTAAGTCTGTCCTTGCTGGACCAGCTGCCGGAGGTTTGGTCCCCCCTCCTGGCTCTTGCATCCCTGCTGCCTTGGAGGGACATGGCAGGAACAGCTTTGGCTTAGTGCTTTTGAAGGGGCTGGCACTGCTGCACTTTCTAGCCTGGGTAGGAGTCCCATGGATGGGGGGACATGGGGAGGTAGCAGGGACTGCTGGTTTTCCCATTAACCCGCAGTGCCATTTGAAGACTTGCCGCAGCCGGGAGTGCAGCCCCCTTCCATGGCTGGGCTCTGCCATGCTTGCTTGGAGCCAGGGCAGCCCTGCCCTGCACAGCAAGGACAGTGTCCAATCCACAGGAGTGGGGCTGGGAGTCACAACCCTGCAAAATGGGCAGGTGACCCACCTCAATATTAGGGCACCTTTTTTTTTTCCTTTCTTCCAACCCACCACAGTGGCATCTCTCACTGCTGCCCAAGCACATGTGCCCTGCCCGGCACAACTGCATTTAAGCATCCCTCTGCCATGGCTCCAGGCTGGCACGCTGAAAAACAGGACCAGGCTCCCTCTATTACCCCCAGGAGTATCCCACCGCGTCCATCCCCAGCCGAGCACTTTCCTTCCCACTTCCTCACTGCAGAGCCGCAGTTCGCAGTCATCTGCAGTCATTCAGCTGGACAGACTTTTGTTTTGCAAACCAAGACCACCGAGCCAGCACTGGATTTATACTTTTCCGTATGCGTTTGGACTCCAAGTCCCTGTCGATGGAAGCTGATGTCCAGCCCAAGCCTGGGGATTCGAAGCAAGCAGAAGAATTGCACAGCCATCTGGAGTAGCTCAGCATGGCGCAGCCCCAGCAAGCTGTCCCTTCTGCCGAGGATAAAGCTGTAAATGGAAAATTGTTTCCTGTGCTGCTGCAGAGGGGGGTCAGTGGAAGCCAGGAGGTGGCACTAGGCACCTGTGGTCAGGCCCATGGATGCTTGCTCACCAGCGGTTCCCCAAGCCTCCGGGAGCATCCTCCAAGTGCTGGGTGCAGTGGGGATCGAGGAAGCTGTCCAGCCCTCCTTGCACCCACTGTGGCAGAGGGAAGGCATTGGGAGAGGCTGTTGGGGTGGTGGTGAAGATGATGATGAAGGAGGACTGCAGCAGGGTGTGTGCCAGGGTGCTGAGCAGGAGGACTAGGGAAGAGGGAGGTGGCAGTGGGCTACATCTCGGGAAACAGGGCAAATTCTGGGTCCCACCAAGGTGGCTGGGCTGTGGCTTCATTTCAGCAGCCTCCCTCTACCTCACCAGCAGCCGAGAAACAAGATTTGAAAGCATCACAGGCTGGTTTGTCTTAAGAGGAGCAAGCGATGGTGGTGCAGAGAGGGTGTCTTCCTGGGCACAGTTGCTGCGATGCCACCATCATCCTGGAGCAGAAACGGCAGCAAATGGCACATGAATGACTCCACTTGCAGCAGACTGGCCCCACATCAGTGCCTGGTCCCATACAGCTTCAAGCAGGGGGAGAGATGCTCTTCATGCATAGGGCAGGGCTGCAGGCAGCAGCAGGCAGGCTAGCAAGGGAGCAGCTCACTTACCACCTCCTTCCTTTCCCAGGGGAGGCAAAGGCTATGTGTGGACATCACCTCCCACCCACAGCAGGTGAACCCCTGGGGTCAGCATAGAGGAGAAGACCTCTGAGTGCAGGGCAGGAGCTCTGCTAGGCAGAGAGGGGCTCCTCATGGCCCCAGCATCCTTCCTCCATCCTTAGGAGTGGAGTTTGATGCTGGCACCTTCACAAACTGCTGCTTGAGGTGGTCAGAGCCAGGGGACCATTACTGAATCCAGAGATTTTCAGGCGAGGAGGGATCCATTGGCCTACATGTAGACGTTGGAGGGGGTTAAGAGCCTTCCTGGGACAGGAGGACTCATGCATTGCTATTCTTAGAGTGCAGAGGAGCCCTCTTCCACTCCAGGCACAGCTGTGCACCCAGCTCCTCATGCCCAGCTTCTTCCGGGCCATGAGAAAAGAAGTATGGGTGTACCCAAATCTTGGTCTTTTTTGTATCTTTGCTGTTGCAAATTGGGAGTTTGAGCTGTCAGGAGTTGAGCAAACCCTTGGCAAGGCGCAAGGCTCACTCTGCAGTGGGCAATGCTATTCATCAGAGCCTGCCTGTGATTTGCTCCCAGCACTCTAAAAGTAGCTGCAACTTCAAAGCATGTTGCAGAGCTCACAGCCAATTAATATTTGCTTGAAATACTTGTCAGGTAGCACGAAAATATCCTTATATCCCAAAAGCAGAGCAGGGCTGCAAGAGTGATACCTGGGGTGGAAAGTGACCATGACAATCCTTCGCCCTTGGCAAATACAGTGTGCCCACACTTTGAATCCCCAAAATCCTAGCTCGAAACCCAAGGGCCAAACTCTGCCATGTTACTACAAGGTAAACGGGTTTGATTGTGGAAATCGGAGGAAGTGCAAGGAAAACATAGGATTTGGGCTTAGTGGGTTCCGTGCCCTGACCCAAGTAGCCCTGGGGAGGAGGGATGATCTCTGCCCTGGCCAGGTTGTTTCCGTGTGTCTCCAGCACTGGCACTTCCTTGACGGTGCTGATTTTGAGCCAGGACAGTCATACTACTGACCTGGACAAGAAAAGGTGATTTGCATCCAGTTAGTTTGTGAAAAGGATATTCTGCATGTTGGCTGCTCCCCTTGGAAAGCACATGGCACAATGCCTAGCCAGCTGTACCGAGGGGTGTAAGGGAGGATGCCACGTGCAAAGCCACTCTTCTTCTCTTCCAGTAAAGCCGGACCCTCCGGAGAGTGTGGTGGCCAAACCCGTGCCCAACAACCCTCGGAGGCTGGAGGTGTCATGGCAGAACCCCTCATCCTGGCCTGACCCCGAATCTTTCCCCCTCAAGTTCTTCCTGCGGTATCGGCCCCTCATCCTGGATCAGTGGCAACACGTAAGTGAGGCTGAGCTGGCCGGGACAGGTGGGAGCGGGGGGAGCTGGTTGCTGGGAACAAGTTGCACCGAGTCAGGGACCAAAAAAAAGGTCTATTTACTGCCCAGGCAGCCCAGACCCTTTTCCTCTCCTTCTCTGTCTCTCCTCCCTTCTCTCTTCCTCTCCATCTTTCTTTTAACTCACATTCTGCCTACAAATGGCTCTGCAGGCTCTCCCTGCTCCGCATTTTCATCCACAGCCCCTATCTACTTTCCATACATATGTTCTATATAAAACCTGCCAACGAGATGTAAAAGGCATTTAAAGTATAAATGTCACCACATTTAAATGCGCCTCTGCCACATTTAGATTTTGAACTGAAGATAAAATACTGCTCACCGTAACTCAGAGTACAGCCATGGAGCGATTGCCATGATGTTATCGTATTTCTTACTTTTATTTCTTGTTTCTTTAAAAAAAATAGTCAGTGAAATCCTTGGCAGCCTGGAGGACAGATTTCATTTGTTAGCTCAGGAAGATAACGAACAGGCTTTTTTTTTTCCTCTGTGTGCTGCTTGCTTGCTTGCTTAGCTTGTGAAGGAAAGCAATCTGCCGCACCAGGAGAGGTGCTGCTATGCTGGTGTGGCTCGTCCAGCATCCTCTCTGTGCTGAGCTGAGCCAGTCAAAAGCCAATTAGGTGCTTTGTTTGATACAGCATTTTGCCTTAAAAAAAAAAAAAAAAAAAAAAAAGGAAAAACAAAAAAAATAATCTACCATGGTTACACTGCATCTCAGGGCTCACTCTGCTGTGTTTCCTTAGAGCTCTACTGCAAAGATCATCTTGCTGCCAGGAAGCCGCACCCAGTCCCTGGGGAACTCACCTGCATCGTGGAGCCAAGCAGGGTTTTCTGCTAGCCAGCTCTTCCTGGGGAGAGAAATGGCTGAGAGAGGGGATGGGAGCCTTTGCTCGTGTGTCTGCAAGATGGTGGTGTCTTGGAAACTTCTTCTTTTTGCATTGGATGAGTTTTTTGATAAGGCAGCACTGCAGGTCATGTTTCATGTTGAAGCATTTGCTGATGGCTTTGAAAAATCAGAGAAGGATTGGGAAGGGGTTTTCCTGCTTGTCTCTTTGCCCTTCTCTTCCCTCCTGGGAGTGGGAGAGCATCTGAGGAGCATCCCAAAGGGTAAGAAAGCAGAGGTGGAGTTTGGATACTAGTTTGTTGTTGATACTTTTTTTCACTTGGGAGAAATGCTCAAATTGTAGAAGCTGTGAAAAAAGGGGAAGAAGTAATGGAAAATACCAAACACAACATCAGTTTTTTCAAGGTGTGAAACTGTTGTCGAAAAGGTTGATGTTTTTAGCCTGCCACAGCCTGATCCAGCCAAGTACCCTGCAAATGCAGGGTTTTGCACCCAAAAATGGTGGGAGAGCCAGTGAGCTGCTTCGTGCCTCAGCACCCTCAGAGTGGCCGGTCCCTCCATCACTGGATATTAGGTATCATATTTGTGGGGAGTAAAAACTTGATTTCCCCTATTTAAAGATACCTTGAGCTGTGGAGAAAGCTCAAGCTGCCAGCCCTCATGGTGGGTGCACAGAAGGCTGGGAAGGGCTCATCTCCCAGCAGCCTGGGAGGGCACAGCAGTCCTGGGTACCACTTTTAATCAATATCCCCTTGCAAGAGACATGTCCCCTGTCACTGGCTGATGGAGAAGTGTGTTTGGGGAATAATTTGCTCAGTGAGCAAGTGCAAGCATTCAGCGAGTGAGGGCCCAGCTTTGTTTTCTGACTCTCTGCCCCGCCAACTGGGTAATGAAAAATCTGATTTGTGGATGATTTGAGGAAAACTGCCACTATTCATCAGATGAATTATTTGCGAAGCCTAATTCAATCAGCTCACAAACACCAGGGGATGGCAGTGCTGCAGCAGCCGGAGCCGCTCTGACCCCAGACCCCCTTGGCACGCTCAGCCTGCTTAGCCGAGCCAAACACCCTGCAAATATAGGGGATTGCACCCAAAAATGAGCCCCACTGACACCAGCATGCTGGGAGCATGGCCAAGACACTCTGAGCTCTGCTTTGCTTGACCTACTGCTTGTTGGCATCTTGGGGGGTGTCCCCATTTCCCCAAATCCACCCAGGAAAGGGAGGGACATGGTTTGGTAGGGCCAAGCCTAGCTCAAGTCATCCAGCTTGTCCTGTGGTGATGGTGTTGGGTCTCTCCTCAAAGGGACAAGTGCCCTGAGAAAGGATGGAGCGGTCATGCATGTCATGCTTGCATAGCAGTGTCTTAATTCTTGCCAAAGTGAAGGTCTCCTGCCACAACCTGCCCCCCATCTTGGCTTTTGCTGTCCCTACTGGCTGCCAGCATGGAAAAGCCATTGCATACAACTTGCTTGCTGACAATGGGGCAGCTTGGGAGCCCAGCAGTGAGGGGAGAAGTCTCTGCCAGCAGCCAGGAGGAGCTGGGTAACCTCATGATCTGGCCCATCCCTGTGTGCCCAAGGTCCCCAAGCTGAGCCCTGTCCCTGCCTCCTCATGGCAGCCCACCCATGCATTGGCTGTGGGTTTTAAGCATCTCCTGCCACTCCCTTGGTAGTCCCATGGGAAGCCCAGCATCGTTGCAGGAGCAAACCCACAAGGGAGCACCGGAGATTGCCTAGAGCCAGGAATATCCATGCAGGCTCCGCTTGCATGTGGCGTTTCTTGGCAGAAGAAGCAGCTCCCCTTTCTCCCCTCTGCCTCCCGTTATCTTTGCAGGGTCTGATTTATGCACAGCACCTCGGCAGGCAGAACAGAATGAGCACTAATAGGATCAGATGGATGTCGAGCTGTCGAATACCATAGGGCCTGATTCAATCAGCATCTGCTTTCTCCCAGGCTCTTCCTTTCAGGATTTTAATAATGCCAGGGCTTGGCACCAGGCAATAAAGGCATCCGTGGCAGGAGTGGTGGATCATATCAAGACTGCCACTGGTGAGTTAGCCATAAATGCAGTTTTTCCCCCAGAGAGCTGGGCAATGCTTGGCTCAAGCATGCCCCCCCCACATTAAGCAATATCTAGGGCTGACCCACAGCCGGGGGACACCCTCATCCCCTTCCCAGGTGGGTTTGAGCCCCAGCCTGCCATTTGCCCTCCCTTTTCCCTGGTCAGCAGTGCCTTTTCACTCAGGCCACTTAGCAGCTCTTGTGTTGCAGTTTGCTCTGGGAATTATGATGATGTGTTCTGGGAATTATTATTGTGGAGAGATGATGATGATGAGTTTCCACATGAGCATGCCGGATGCTCCTTGCACTATCGTGCCATGTTGCAGTGGCTCCCTTGAACCTGGGCACAGGCATTTCTTGGCTGTTCGAGATGCAGACGTGTCACATCGTGTCACATCGGGTGGCCGCTGACTCCCCTCCGCCTCACCAGCGCAGAGCTGACTCTGAATCTCAAGCAACTTTAAAGTCACGCTCCTCCCTTTCTGGAAGAGGGGCTGGTGGTTTCTCTGCTGCCAGAAGAGAGGGGGGATATTTGTAGCCTAAACAGGTTTTTTTATTCTCTCCTTTTGGCAGAATCTCCCCTTCTGTCTCCTAAATATAAAACATTAAATGTTCAGGGTATCCTTTATTTTTCTCCTGCTTTTAAGTTTGTAATTCAAGCCAGATTAGCATGGTTTCCTCTTCTGTTTTATAGCCCCATCCTGGCCCCAAGCGAGCTCTCCTAATGCTCTCAGATGTTCCTCTAATGGCTTACCTAGGCTGGAACTGGATACCCTTTCCTAATGGATTGCTAATAGCCTGTTTCTGGTTTTACAGGCTCCTTCAGTTAACTCGCAACAGCAGCGATCGCCACGCTCACACATGCGATCTCCCCGCAAGCACGTCCGCACGCTCACCCCTGGATGCAGGCGGGTGGCCAGGCACCATCCCGAGCATCTTTGGGGAGCCCAGGGCAAGTCTTGCACCCAATTTGCTCCCACCCCATAGTGTTTGCTCGAGCAGGATCTCCCCTTTTGCCAGTTTTTGAGGGGAGATCTCATGCACTGAGCACTGACCAACTCAGCACACATCCCAGGAACATGGCAGGGCTCAGAAGGTATTTCTTAAGCAACATCAGAGCTGGCAGCCAGGCTAAGGGAGGATTTCCTCCAGTGCGTTGCCAGCAATTTGCAGATGCCGTCACAAAGTCTAATTGAACCCATTGGCCGCGCTGACAACATGAAATGTTAACGAACCGTGAGGCGGGCTGCGCCTCAGATCTCGAGATTTGCAGTAAAAGGTCATGAGATATTTAAAGCTAATAACGTGGTTCGGTTCTCTCCTTCCTCTTCTGTTTTGGAAGCATTAGAGCCACGTCCATAAGCACTAGCAAAAGCTGGAAACGTTCTTCTTCAGAAAAGCAAGCAGAAGTACTCCCACCATCCCTGGATTTTAGGAGCTGTGGCCACAAAGCCCCCAGTGCAGGCATCTGTGCTGGCTCTGCTGCTGGGTGGCTCCGATCTGGGCAAATGATGGGGACATGGGGACAGGAATGGGCAATTTGTAGGTATTGCCAAATATTTAGTGGTTGAGTTCATTAGTGTAAGGAGGACATGGTCCTCTGGGCCAGACACCGTCACTCATGTGTCAGGGGTGGCTGCCAGGGTGGGCTCAGGTTCATCTCCCAAGGCAAAGCCACATTTTTTTGTCAAATAGTTGGATCTCACAGGCTGTCTCTGGAAGTTCCTGCATTGGGGCAGCATGAAATAACCTGAAAGCATGTGCTAATCCATAACCTGCCTGGGACGGGCAAGGGGGAGGGATGGAGCTGGGGAAGGCAATTAGTGCCACTGCTTGCCGCAGTTGTGTCCCCGCCGGCACGGCAGCAATGTCACTTTGCGATGGGCGTGCTTGTTCGCGCCCATTTGCATCCCCCCATGCCTCTGCTGCTTTGCCTGTGCTCCCCCTCTTTGCAAGGCAACCTTGGCAGGGAGGTCACCCTGAGCGAGCTGGGTTACAGCTTCACGCCTCTTAGCTTTTATTGCGGCATTTCTCC